AACACCCCTATCCCCCTTTCCGATTCCATATAACACCCCTATTCCCCTCCTGGTCTTTCTGGGTCATTTGGTGGCCAAGATCCATTTAGCTGTTTCTGCCATTAAAAATGGTGACCGATTCTGACAAATCTCTGTATTAGTCCTCAGCCCTCTCCATTGATCGATCGGTAGGCCGTTTCAATCAGGTCGCCAATAACATTGAACGGATGAAGCGACTCGCCGTTGTTGGGAGTCGATCAGCCGGCAAACTTTGACCGAGTTCAGAGGTGAGGGATTGACCTTCCGTCTGGTGATGATGACCAATCCTCGGCACGATGCCGCGTGAGAGTCAATGACCATAAGTAGAGGAAACAACTCGGACTGGTTCAGCCAATCATAGAGATCACAGAGATCACATGGGCTTATTTACAAAACAAACCCACCAACCGTCATGGTCCTTCACTCAGAGAGACATCGGCAGATCTTAAAGTGAAATTACATCAGACCAAAAAATACTGTAAAATATTATAAGATCCTAAAATGTGCATAAAGGCCTCATCCTGGCTTTGGACAGAGTTTGGATGGGTGGCAACTTGTGTTCCCCATGGTATTCACCGCTCCAAGCCCCGCCCCCCCGGGATGGACTACAATCTCAGGTTTAGTTTACTGGTTTGTATTGAGATTTTAGTCCATCCCGGGGGGGGCGGAGCTTGGAGCGGTGACTACAACACACACAGGGACCATGGGGAACAGACGTAGCCCCCCTCCAGAAGGAAGGACAGTGTCAGAGATGGTTGGAGGATCTCCAGCCGAGTGATACACAAATAAGAGACATTGTTGCTCGGAGTTCGGGGACTCGGAGGGAGTACGTATTCGAACTTTTCGGCTGTTCGGTTGTTTGGCCCATCACTAAGCCGGACCCAACCATAGGTGGAAGTCTTTCAGTATGAAGGTATTGGTATGGCCCAATGATAATTGCCTGTATGGTAAGTTCCTCCCCACAGAACACTAATATCCTCCTAAAACATTCATATAAAGTGATCTATTCATACAGATGAGTGACCTCCTAGGAAGGAAGAGACTCACCTGGAGGAGAGGAGTAAGGGGAGGGAGACACCAGAGGACAGACCAGCCTCACCTGGAGGAGAGGAGTAAGGGGAGGGAGACACTGGAGGACAGACCAGCCTCACCTGGAGGAGAGGAGTAAGGGGAGTGAGACACCGGAGGACAGACCAGCCTCACCTGGAGGAGAAGAGTAAGGGGAGGAAGACTCCAGAGGACAGACCAGCCTCACCTGGAGGAGAGGAGTAAGGGGAGTGAGACACCGGAGGACAGACCAGCCTCACCTGGAGGAGAGGAGTAAGGGGAGGAAGACACAAGAGGACAGACCAGCCTCACCTGGAGGAGAGGGGTAAGGGGAGTGAGACTCCAGAGGACAGACCAGCCTCACCTGGAGGAGAGGAGTAAGGGGAGTGAGACACCGGAGGACAGACCAGCCTCACCTGGAGGAGAGGAGTAAGGGGAGGGAGACTCCAGAGGACAGACCAGCCTCACCTGGAGGAGAGGAGTAAGGGGAGAGAGACTCCAGAGGACAGACCAGCCTCACCTGGAGGAGAGGGGTAAGGGGAGGGAGACACCAGAGGACAGACCAGCCTCACCTGGAGGCGAGGAGTAAGGGGAGGGAGACTTTATAACAATAGGTTTTGTTTTCGGTTCCTGACTGTGACGGTTGCTGGGGATGACTTTCTTGTAAGGGGAAGGGCTCTGTAGAGAGAGTGACGTGTTACCATGGAGGGATGACTGAAGAAAATCCCCGTTACACGAGTCTCACTGCAACCCAACAATGAGAAATATGTGACAACACCCGAGACGCGAAAGCTGAAATCAGCCTCCTAGAGAGTAATATATCATCACAGAGACCTGATACAATGTATACAAACATCCGAGTCATAGTGACAGAGTATTGGAGGCCGAGTACAGACGCGGGGACATCAAGTCCAACCTATGTGTGTATACGAGTCCCTGTCCCCCGGTATGTTCCGGTCTCTGAGGAGGGTATCTAAATGACTCCACGCTCTCTGCTGATACCACCGCTCTGACTGAGAAGAATCCTGACACCCCTTGTGGGTAAATCTTTTCTCCGCCAGTTTTAGGTGGCGGCCTCTAGTCCTCGTTATGGAGTTTATTGCTGATGTTGCATCTCCACACAACATTGTACATCAGAATCATGTCCCCCCTTCATCTCCTCAATGCCATCGTGAGCCTCGTCTCCTAGCTTTGGTCCTCCAGCCCCTCCCCCTCTCCTAGCTTTGGTCCTCCAGCCCCTCCCCGTCTCATAGCTTTGGTCCTCCATCCCCTTAATTAGTTTAGTTGCCCTTCTCTGGACTCTCTCCAGCTCCAGGAGATTGACATTGTGTGCCCCAGCCCGACATTGTGTGCCCCAGCCTGACATTGTGTGCCCCAGCCTGACATTGTGTGCCCCAGCCTGACATTGTGTGCCCCAGCCCGACATTGTGAGAGGAGAGGGGTACGGGGAGAGAGACACCGGAGGACAGACCAGCCTCACCTGGAGGAGAGGGGTAAGGGGAGGGAGACAGCATCCTAGCAACCAAGAACACTATGCGGCAACAGCACCCTAGCAACCAAGAACACTATGCGGCAACAGCACCCTAGCAACCAAGAACACTATGCGGCAACAGCACCCTAGCAACCAAGAACACTATGCGGCAACAGCACCCTAGCAACCAAGAACACTATGCGGCAACAGCACCCTAGCAACCAAGAACACTATGCGGCAACAGCACCCTAGCAACCAAGAACACTATGCGGCAACAGCACCCTAGCAACCAAGAACACTATGCGGCAACAGCACCCTAGCAACCAAGAACACTATGCGGCAACAGCACCCTAGCAACCAAGAACACTATGCGGCAACAGCACCCTAGCAACCAAGAACACTATGCGGCAACAGCACCCTAGCAACCAAGAACACTATGCGGCAACAGCACCCTAGCAACCAAGAACACTATGCGGCAACAGCACCCTAGCAACCAAGAACACTATGCGGCAACAGCACCCTAGCAACCAAGAACACTATGCGGCAACAGCACCCTAGCAACCAAGAACACTATGCGGCAACAGCACCCTAGCAACCAAGAACACTATGCGGCAACAGCACCCTAGCAACCAAGAACACTATGCGGCAACAGCACCCTAGCAACCAAGAACACTATGCGGTAACAGCATCCTAGCAACCAAGAACACTATGCGGCAACAGCATCCTAGCAACCAAGAACACTATGCGGCAACAGCACCCTAGCAACCAAGAACACTATGTGGTAACAGCATCCTAGCAACCAAGAACACTATGCGGCAACAGCACCCTAGCAACCAAGAACACTATGTGGTAACAGCATCCTAGCAACCAAGAACACTATGCGGCAACAGCACCCTAGCAACCAAGAACACTATGCGGCAACAGCACCCTAGCAACCAAGAACACTATGTGGTAACAGCATCCTAGTGACCAAGGATTGTAAGGTTCTTGAGGACAGGGACTGATGTGAACCTGGGAACAGGTTAGCATATGGAAGCATGGGTGTCACTTCGGGATACATTGTATACTGGAGACATCGTCTTTATTGAATATATGAATCTTCATGGAGGATGGGTTTACGCTGGAACACTATTGGATATGCTGGAAGGGGGAGGAGTAACATGGAAACTATTCCGGAGTGATTTGATATTATGCCACACGGGATGTAATTAGACTCTGATAGGGAGCGACTATTTACAGGGCTGGATTCACTCTCTGCTGCCCCAAGGGCAGGTTCCTCAATGCGCCCCCCCCACCCCCCATGGAGAATGGGAGACCTGCAGGCTGCGAACAAGTGATTCGGTGACATCGGCGGCTTCCCCGCTGTACATTTAGCTCTGTTTGCCCAAAGCCGGGGTAAATGTAGAAAACAATTACCCACCTAGTGTGGCTCGGGGGTTAATTTTCAGCACCGATCGCAGTAACCCCCCCGAGCCACACTCGGGATTGCACAAAAGTGCCCCTTTACTTGTCCCTGCATGCCCGCGGTGTCCCCTGCTGTGTGCGC